AGCGAAGACCGGTTACATTCCTTTGGCCCTTCCCTCTCCTCCTGTTTTCAGTTGCATCGAATGTACTATGATATTATTCCTTTTCTTGATATGTTTCGTGTTTAATTGTTAAAGATATTTTTGAAAAGTTCCATGACGCTTCTTTTAGAACTATGTTTAATGTAGTTCTCAGTTCCACATAGTTTTTTCATTTAAAAAATTTTAATCTATTTGAAAATCAGGACAGAAACTAAAGCACTTCCTTCTCCTATGACACTCCACACGCTATTGGTGAAAGCATGCCAAGTGTTGCCATAGGAAGATAGTTCTACTCTACGCCACCTGTAGCCTATTTCGATCGCCTATTAAAAGTCAACTGTATAATGTGGGGCAAAATTACTTCCTCAAAATTATCTTTCAAACTTTGGCGTTCATTTTATTTTATGCTTCATAACAAAAGTTATGTTGTTAGCACATGTATCAGTCGAAAATGAAGTTCTTTGTGCAGTTTTTTGTGTTGTTTTAGCGTGAAATATGAAGCGTTAATCCAAATGCAATCACGAACTTTTGAACATATCTCAGATATTACTTGCGAATTCGACGAAGACTTTGTCTCCTCCATAGCTGCAACGACTGATATCTATATTACTGCTGATCCAATGCTTTCTAGCTTTAAGCTCATGTTGACAAAGAACTAGAAACATAAGATATCCTAAATTTCAGCATTATCGCTCTCTCATATTGACCTTAATAGTTTTTGTCCTTAAATAATCGACTCTAATTTAGTGTACATTGTCATGTGTTACATATTATTTTATTAACTTACTTGGAAACGCTACTTTCAAAAAGGAAAGCCAAATAAAAGGCAAACCGCAAAGTAAAAAGTAAAGCGTAAAATATAAAGTGTGGAGCAAAGCATGAAGTAAAGGGATGACATATTGCAGCTGGAAAAAAATTCGTGTTGGCTATACATTTTATGAGTATGGTACTATTTTAAAGAATAACTTACGAAGGAAAAACGCATGTCCAAAAAAATACTTTTTTTTCTACGGCAGGCACTGAACTTTCATTCTTCACCTCCGAAAATGCCGGAAGCGTTGCTCGTTTGACGTTACCCGGTGGGCACTTGTGAACCTACGTCACGGAGGGGCATTACTCACACCCCACTGCCACAGATTCCCATTTATAGGATGGGCCGCACTCACACAACAGAGAACAACACACAGAGAGAAACATCCTTGTCCTAAGTGGGATTCGAACCCGCAACCATTGGCTTCACAGTCAGGCAATCTGACTACTTGGCCACCTGGCCGGCAAACCCAGAAATTCAACAAGCCCAATATTTCAGGTGACAAATACTCGCGCACTAGCATCAATTTCTAAATGGTTTTTTGTATCTTTCGATCTATTTGTCTTCATTTTCGTGAAAGAATCTTGGGTTTAACTCAACACTCTGGTTCAAAAATTTTGATGCCAAAAAATATAAATTCTGCGGTACAAACTTGTGTGTTTGATTTCTAAATTTTAACTTTAATAATAAAAGTTTGGAAACGTTTTCATCACAAATGCTCGATATTTAATAATTATTTCTAAAAAATTTTTTAACTTGTATCAAAAATAGTTGGCCCTATTTTACAGAATGAATAAAGTAAATCATATTAATATCCTCAAATCAAAATTTATGCAGCATGAATTTGTAAGATAATATCGAATTTGTCCCTTGTAACGATTAAAAATTAGTCAATTTATCATTAAAAGAAACTCGAGATTCGACTGCTGTTGCTTAGAAAGAATTTCTCGTCGAATTCAATTTAATAAAACTATTGAGTAGAAAATATTTGTATCTCTAAATTACATAAATATATATATTTTACATAAAATGTAATTTAGTGGAGTGAATTTCTAGTGTGTACTTATTTAATTGAATTTTTTCGAAATGTTCGATTTTCTTCCACTATTTCAAGTTGAAACACAAAGAGACTGATTTACTGGAGGGCATTCAGGCACGTGCCCAGGGTCCTCACACCAAATTACAAAAGAAAAAATATTCATATTTTTTTTAAATAGTAAACTAACTCGATAAATAGTTGTTTTTTTTCGTAAAATAATAAATCGTGCAAAGAATATTTTCAGAATGCTATTGGCGATCGAAATGGGCTACAGATGGCGCAGTGCACAACTCTCTACTTATAGCAACACTTCGCATGCTTTCACCATTAGCGTGTGGAAAGTTATAGAAGAAAGAAATACGTTAGTTTCTGTCTTGATTGTCAAATAGATTAAAATCTTTTAAATTAAGAAACTAAATGTAACTAAAAACTACATTAAACATAGTTCTGAAAGAAAGCGTCATGAAAATTTAAAAAACTATTTTTAATAATTAAATACGAAAAATATTAAGAAAAGGAAAAATATCCTAATACATTTCTATACAACTGAGAAGAGGAGGAAAGGGAAGGAGGAGAGCCAATGGCTTGGAAATAATCTTCTCCCCTGATGGCGTATTCGAGCGTCGAGATCGCCTGTAGATTCTTTGATAGATATTTAATACAAATAGTTTCCTAAATAATTTTCATCATTCTCCCCCAACAACTCCTACTCTATCAATTAAATGTTATTCTTTAATTTATTTTATTAGGTAAATTAAATTTTGAAATTCTCTATGATGTACTTTAAATAAGGTTTCAAATAGATTACAATTTGCTGCAATAGATTACAATCTAAAAAATTACCTTTTTATAATGGGATTAAGAATTATACATGTTAAATGAAACTTGTCCACTTTTAAGGGACTCTTTAAATAGGCTTTGTACCCAGGGCTTTAAGCCGTTCCCTTTAAACCCAATTTAAAAAATGAGTTACATGGGAAATCTTTATTGTTAATAGTTACAGGATATAAATTTATAATAATGATTCATAAAGTGTTTCTATTAACGTTTAATCATTTAGCCAGACCTTGCTTGAAAGGATTTTTAAAGCATTTTGTTGTTTGACATCTTTTCTGAAAATTTAAAAGTTTGAAAAGTTTAGGAAAAAGCTTCTATCTTTAATTTTCTTCAATTATCTTTCTTTCATTGTTTTTTTCTACTTTATTTCCTTTATCATCTTAAAACGATATGTCCAATACTTTAAGAGCTAAGAAAACAAGTACTCAAATTTTGGAATTTCTGAGAACTACATCAAAATCCATTGCGTGGGACCAGAAAACTTCGAAAGCTTTTTTCAAACGAGTCTTTAGAATTGGGGCCTATTTTAGAGAACTCGGCACAAATTTTACCACCTTCGTATTTTTTAATGCAAATGAAGTTTTTATATTGAGTAGCATAACTGTCAAATGGTAACTTTTTTTTATTGTATCTTACTCTGTGCATTTTTCTATACACTTTTGTAATTTTAAGTCTCTAAGTCTTGTAGTTTTTGCGCTGTAAAGCAAAATGTAATTTAAAATTAAGCGCCCAAAACAGTGACAGTGGCGCTTACAATTTTTAAATATAAATAGAAAGAGGTTTCAACATTAGAAATTATACACTAAACTTAACCACTAATTTTCATCCATTATTTTTAAAAAAGTTATTTTTTACATAGCTAGAAAGAGTTGCGCAAAAGCAACGTTAGCAGTTACATATGGCATCTGAATTGCAGACGCCTCGAACGAAAACTTTGTGATCCCCCTTTAGAAAAATGCATCGTTTATGACAAGTAACAGCCTATTGTGCTGCTCTAGTGTGATATTAATAAAGTACTGCTAGTAGTAGTAGCTACTACTTACGACTCGGACTGGATTTTCTATGCAGTGCCTGAAGCATCTTATTAAAAATAAAATAAATAAAAAATTATATAATTAAGATCATTTTTTATTAGTTTTTGAGTGATGCAAGATGTTTTAACTTCCAAAACATGCCCATGATTTAAAAGCTTCCAATTTAGAAAGAAATATTAAAACTTAAGTATTTTGTAATATTAACTTATATTTATTGCCATTTGTAGGCGATAGGATGTTGTTACCTTTTTTTTCCATTAATAACATTTAAAAGCTGAATATAGTTTTCTAATTATTGTACCTCTAGTTGTACCCACATGTTGTAGTCCTCTTTGCTTAAAGTGTGAAAGCTCTTTATGCATGTATGGGTTCCACATTGGACTGATCGTAAAGACACTGTTCCCAGTGGAACACCGAAGTCAAGCATCACTGGCTGCAGCCAGTAAGTGGATAGGTGACCGCTTTGATCAGCTTGTGTAGGGGCCTAGGCTGCGCGATATCACTCACGTTAAACTGTTCTACCATAAAGTGCTCGATTTCGCGCACATGTCATCGAGCTACCAAAGAGGATGAGCTATCCTGCTGCAGACAGATTTCCCAGACAGTCGACAATAGCTTATTGTACAACTCTAGTGCTCCGTAAATAAAGTATCTACCCACCTGTGCATGTATGGGTGGTTGACTGAATGTAAAAAATAATAAGCTTCCTAAAACCAGAAGAAATTTTGAAAACTTCCAGTGTATCCCTCCGCTTATATTATGCTTACAAGGCGAAGTTTGAACAGGCTTAATATTCTAGGAAGGTTATTTCTATGATTTGTGTTTAAACTTACGCGTAATTTCATCATTCTTAAGAGTTTACTGTTTTAGAGTTTACTGTTTACTATCTGGTCGTGAACCTAAGACAAATTTAACAAATTATCACAGCATAAATAAAGTGTAAAGTTTGGCATGTTTTGAGTGTCACCCCTTATTTGGTTATATTTGTGTAAAATAATGCCTTTTGTTTTCTTATGGGTTAGCATCATAACAAGCTTGCGAAGTTTTCCAAATTCCTTTGCTGTTTGTTTCGTTGAAAGTTAAATTGAAACAACGCGTTATATGGAAAACACAAGTATAATAATATTGAATGTCGTATTTTTCCTAACTCGGGCGTAAAAATCAGTCGGAAGTGGTAACCCGGTAAACTCGCGTTGAATTTCGATCTCCAGCGCCATCTGCCACTGCATTAGCTATCATTTTCTATCGAGTTTAGTCCTGACTTAACTTTTGTTTCAAAACTCGTCGCTTTGACACTTTTTCAGTCACTCAAATAAAAACATTCTAGATAGCGATCGTTATCGTACCGTAGATCGTACCTGCGATAATTTATAAGCTTCAAAATTCACATTCATAAAATTTTACAATGAGCAAAATTATTTTAGGCTATTGGTACTTCCGTGGCCTAGGTGAACCGATTAGATACTTGCTTCATTATAAAAATGTAAAATTCGTAGACAAAAGGTATCAGTTTGACGGTACTTGGCAGAAAGAAAAATTTTCCTTAGGTTTGGATTTCCCAAACTTACCTTACTATTTTGAGGATAATCTAAAACTGACGCAGAGCTTAACCATATTGCGATACTTGGCGAAAAAATACAACTTAGAAGGAAAAACCGAGGAAGAACAGTTGCGTGCTTCATTAGTTGAACAACAAATAACTGACTTTGCGACTGTATTTTTCAGAGATGTCGTTTACGCTAAATCTAATGATTCGCCAAAAGAATTTTTGAAAAATGCTCCAGGATTATTAAAACCCTTCTCGGAATTCTTAGGGGAAAGGAATTTCTTCGCCGGTGATGAAATAACTTATGTAGATTTCTTGGTTTATGATAATTTTGATTTTCCCTCTTTGTTTTCTAAGACAATTTTGGATGCTTTTCCTAACCTTAAAGCTTTCCAGGATAGAATTAGGAATTTGCCGGAACTTCAAGAATATCTAAACTCATCAGCATATATAAAATGGCCTATTTGTGGCCCACCAGATGCTTGTACTTGGGGTGGTAGTGGTGAGATGCCAAACTAATATGACAAAATCTTTCTGTGATAAATCTGATTATTGATTTCGAGAGCATTTTCAAGAATGTCGAAATGGTGTTTCTGGTGCTTTTCTGTGATATTTCCGTATCAATTGATTGCACCAACTAGGACTGCCAAGGTTGCAAAGAGATTTTAAATTTGTTAAGCTTTTAAAATAAAAAAAAATTTAGAGTTTTGTGCAGGGGGAGTTTTCAGTACTGTGATCTCTTTCAGAATAAACACGAAACCCCCATGGCAGAATTTTGGGCTTTCTACAACAGACCTCTCTAGCATTAATATATTTCTGCAAGATACTTTTAATAATAACAAATATCAGGGATCTGTCTAGGTTTTTCTGAAAGGTACATATTTTGTGGAAATTTAGATATAATTTGTGAAAAATTATATTGAAAAATCAACACAAAATGTGAATTTATCGTTTCTTAAGGGATACAAAAATAAAATTTTAAGAAAAAGTATTTTGTGAAATTTTCCTAAAGTTGAATTTGTGAAGGTTCTGCTAAATGGTAGTAAATACGGCCTGGACAGACCCCTGAATATACATGTAAAATGAAAATCAAAATTTTTTACTTCTTTATTCTCAAATGAGAATCACGAGTATTTATTTCCCCGCCAATACGCGAAAAAGGCATCTTATTAATGTAATTCTGGAGGGGACAAAATATTTCAAAAACTTCTGCAGAGAAGAAAACGATCTTTTTTACTTCATTATTCTTTCATTTTTTCTTATTCTATAATGAGAATACAAAACCACCAGCATTTCGTTCCCCTCCAATGCACAAAAAAGGCATATTTTGAATACAATTCCAAAAAAAAAAAACTATTTCATAAATTTCTGCAGAAAAGAATAAAATTAAAAATCAAGGGAAAAATCTTTCAGCAGAAACTTAGTAACATTCTGCGACAATGTCGCCGCGATTCTGACATGGGACACAAAGCCTTGGCAACTTCCCTGATGTGTCCCACAAGAAACTAAATAAAACATCGAAGGAAGGGACTAACTCGTTGCCCCCCTAGGGCAAGACTCTACATGTTTTTTTTTTAAATTTCCCATTTAAAATCAATTTGGGCCCTTTCTCTCTCTCTTTTTTTTTTTTAGTTTCTTGAACTTTGAACATACAAATTTAATGAAGTGAAAATAATATTTTGTTTTTAAATAAATGGAATTTTTATTTTTGTGATAAATTTTTGTTATATCGAATTTCTATATAGTCAAAAACTATTTAAAATTGTGTATTTGGCTTAAACTATTTGATTAACTCAAACTATTTTAATAGAGAAAAAATAATACAATGCTGAAATTTACTATTTTTCTTTTATGCTTAATACCATGCTTAAATTATACTTAATTTAAATTAATTTTATATGAAATGTAAAAGTTAACAAATTTTATTTTATACTTTGCATTGTATAAATAATGAATATTATTTTCGAAGACTTTTTGTATAAATGCAGAAAACTTTTATGCTCAACTTTTTAAACCCCTATCAGCACCTTTTTTTTTGTGAATATCCTTGATTGATTTTATAGTCTAATATTTGCTCAATATTATTTTAAGCAAAGTTATACAAATAACTTTGCTAATCGTTATTTAAAAAATAGGTTCATTTAATTAATGTTTGATTATGTTGAGAGTTTTGTCATCGCATTAATTAAAATGTGTAAAAGAACAAAAAATATTTTTTATACAAATTTGCAATATTTTGTTTTTTACCAAATCAAATATATTATGTTTGCATAAAAAATGCTAAACATTTATATTATGTTTACTTATGTTATTTCTTTTTACATATTTATATGTTTCTCGTTATAGGCTTGTTGTTTCTAGTATAATTTGATTTTGTTTAACATATTTTTTTTAAAATTTTGTTATTGTTATTAATAAATTTTGTTATTGTTGATAAATGATTACTCTCAGATTTATTGTTAGAAATTTACCTGACTTTTACTATTTATTTCTTTTCGAAATAAAGGTGCACTGATTGCCAATTATAAAATAAAACTGTAAATGTTACTTATTGGTTATAAAGACCATGAAGTCACGTTCAACAAGGCGCAGAAAAGAACAACGCCAGATTCTAGTTTACATAGCTACCGATAATACTTATTAATGTATTATACAGGACAATATTGCTATCATTTATGATAATAATACATATTGAGTAATAAATAAATTAGTGTGATCATTAATAATACATATCGAATAACAAAGTGTTTCAGTCATTGATAACTATCTAATACAAGGCCGATGATTGCGTATGTGTTATTACATTATGTAGATTATTTATATTGGAAAAATATTGTTAGATATCCATATTAGATTTGGCACTTATTAAAAATAGGAATCAGTGTTCATGTTAGCATAAACTCAAAAAAGTCATCACCAACACATCATAATTAGTGCCAAATAAATTTCTAGTTTGATTTGCTATGAAGTAATATGCATTTATCTACATAACTACCAATGTAAAGTATAGGAGATCAGTTAACAAGTTTCAGTCATAAGTGAAAAGAAAGGCAATCCCTATACCAAAGTCTGAGGCCAGCCGCTGAATTCAATGTCAAATCCTTTGCCGTTGCTTGCTAATTTCGGCGGTCAGCATTTTATCTTATAATAGTTGAAAAAATTTGAATTGTAAGGTATGGATGGTGTTTCTTGCACTAGGAAGCGCTACGTGCTTTTTATTGCTTATTCTTCCGGGTTGCTGTTTCCTGAATATTTTGAAGCCATTTTTCTCGCGACGGGATCGTTGTTTTGAGACTGTCTTGAGTAGTGTTTCATGTACGCCTTATATTTGTTACTTGATTTATTTGTATTTAAAGAGGGTAACGTTAATAGTGAAACAGTAGTGTTAAGTAGAAACATATGATTTGTTTAATAATAAATACTTGTTTATAAACTTGACATTTGAAAAAAAGGATCATTTATAAACACTTCTTGCCTTATTAACAATATACTAATTTCTAAATTCAAGCCTAAATGATCATTGGTAAAATGAATTTAATCTCGCTGCTCGAACAACATGCTATCACTAACGTATGATGGTCAGTGGCGTAACTAGGTCGGGACCAAGTAGGCCTGGTCATCTCTAGAAATTCCTTGACCCACCTTGAAAACTTTTATTTCATACATTTCAACTTTAAATAATTTTTTAAAAACATAAATCTTTTCCAGCAATTCAAATTTCTGACTTTTTATTTCACTTCTTTTACCATTAGTGACTCCTTTATTATTGAGAAGTACACTCTTTTTTATTAGATAAGATTTTTTTCTCCGCATGTTTATTCTCATTTCTAGGAACAAAAGCTGAAGTATGTGTTATGAATTTAAATTCTAAGAAATGTAACTTTCTTACTTTAAAACCCTTTTGTTTTACCCTCAAAGAGTTATGTTTTTCCCATATCCTTTTACGAACACTACTGAAGCACTCACTGCCTACTTAATAAGAAATACTTTTCTGTTTTCTAGGGAAAAAAAGGGTCCGTTATTATTTTTGTTTTCGTCCCATCATTCATAGCAATGTAGTATTCCTTACTTCTGTCTTCGTTTGAAGTATTTTGTAAAGAGAGTGGTGCATGTTTAAAAAGCAATTTATGTGTTCTAAAGTCTATGAGTATTTTTTTTTTAATTCAAAATATTTCTTCTGTGGTTTCTAAGTAAAAGGTAAGTAACCTAAAATACATCATTATTCATTTTTTTTTTTTGCATGTATTTACTGTGTATGTTATTTTTTGTACATATTTCTAGGGTATGTTACAAAAACCTATACTTTTACTTGACTTTGTCAAAGACATATTTTCGCTCAATTTATGTTTTCTGTAAATTGCAATTTGTTTAGCTGAATAAAAATATAAAACAAATGTTCTTGTTTTATATTATTATTCAACTAAGGAACTTGTTTTTGTACATGCAATACAAAAACAAGTTTTTTTTCTGAAAAGCTTGTAAAAAAATTTGAAAAACATTCCAAAAGTTAGCAGGAAAAGAAAAATGTGTTCAAAAATTACTTTATACTGCCATTATTATTAAGATAAAATAAATAAAATTAAAGTAAAAAAACTGTTGAATCTTGACGATGAATAAAAAATAATAATTCTATGAATTTAACAAATGATTCGATTTAGAACTTAATGTCTAGAAATGTTTACTCGAATGCAATTAACATTTTTTTAATGATATACTCCTATAAGAATTAAGTTTAAGGAAATGAATATTTCATGCATTTAGTATTAGACTTTCATCTCATATTGTATTATCAGATATGTTTTGCAATCATTTATAGCTACTGGGGATACTGGATTGGAGATCGATCGTTCTCTGATTCAGGTCAAAATTACGATCTGTGGATGAATGAATGGGTCCGCCTTATAAACAGGTGTGACGTATGATGTGGCAGAAGTCGCCATAGATGGCGCCACTGAAAAACAAGAATCACACACTCTGCTGTAGATTTGCTCGGTTTCACCCATAGAGCTGTGTGGCATTAGAACCAACCAACCATAAACTGATGCAAAAGTTGCAATTTTAAAGTCATTAAAATAATTAACATTTTTTTTTTCTTGCTAACATAATGATATAGTCATACTTTTTTTGTGCCTGTGTGGCATTAGAACCAACCAACCATAAACTGATTCAAAAGTTGCAATTTTAAAGTCATTAAAATAATTAACATTTTTTTTTTCTTGCTAACATAATGATATAGTCATACTTTTTTTTTTCAATAGAAAATTCACATTTATAGAATATCACAGTTTTTGTTATTTTATGTTATGTTGTAAATGAGATATGATATTTATTAATTTTTTTCCGATTTTAAAATTATAATAATTTATTGTTGTTAAAAATGTTGATTTAATAGCATATATATGGGATAAAGGGAAAAACAAAGAAAATTAATAAGTTTTATTTACTGCGCATGAGCTGCAAGTATATAAAACTCATAAAATAAGTTAAAAACATAGAAAAAATTAAAGATTAATGAAAAGTGAAGAAGAGTAAAAAATATTAAAATCAAATATTTTTAAAAAAGTTAGTTAATATTTTTATTAAGTTAGTTAATATTTATTTAATAGTTAATATTTTTTTATATACTGTAGTACCATACCAAAGGATTAAATTATACACAAATTAGGGGGCCCACAATGTTGCTTAATATGTAAGTATGTATGCATATATTTCTAATAGGCATATATTTCTTATGAGACATAATATGTGAGTTTATATATGTGTATTTCTAAGTGTGTTTTAAAGTGTTAAAATGGAGAAGTTGTTGCTCACGAAGGCAAATTTCTCCTAATACTTGATCCAAAAGTTCCCTTGTCTTCTGGATTGGATTCAAAGTTACAAGGCTACGGATTTGAACACTAGTCGTAAACCAAAAAAACTGGGCCGG